CTGTCTCGTTAGCGTTCGTTGCTGCCAGCCCTATGGGATAGCTGCTATTCGGAGGCAGTTTTTCAGTGGGGACAGGGCTGTTTTGTCACTTGTGTGTGAGACCCAGCGGGGCTGTGACGCCTCCTTCTGCCTTAAGGGCCTTGTGAGATCCGTCACCAGTTGTGAGTGCCCTCAGCCTCAGAGAAATGAAATGATTTGAGGGAATTTGCACCTTTTCAGCTTCACTTTGGCAGACGTTGCTATTTCGTAGGTTTTCCTTTTAAGCTTTTAATAGTCCATCCCCAATTTCTTTAACCTCTTTGTTTTTAGCCAGAGTCCTTAATAAGCTACCCTGAGCTCCAGCTCTCCCATGAACTGACAAATCCAGTCAGTCAGTCTGTGAAGGCTAAGGATTGAGGTTGAAGTGTCTCGACTTTTTGTACATATGTGGGCTTTTGTTTGCTTTTTCTTCCTTTGCATGGGATTTGCCTTAGCAGCACTTTATTTTTTTTCCTTTGACTAGCATCTAGTTAGAAACTTTACCACAAGGCGCACGCTTCCCCAGTGGAAGTGCAGAATGCTTCTCCTATACAGCCTTTGCCCGTGCTCCAAGTTCTGCTCTTATTTCATCGCTCACCCTCTCCCACCTCTCCGACCCGGACGGGGTGTGTGACCTGTCCCCGCGCGTCCCCACGGCCCTGGCTCTCCTGGACCTCGAGCTGCCCAGCCTGCCGGGCCAGCAGGCGAGTTCAAGGCTCTTGCCAGCAAAGCAGGAAGGATCCCGCAGTTCCCACCGCACGTTCTGCATCCCCGTGACAGGATTAGCGCGTCGGAGAGAGCGGAGCAAGCAAGGGAGCGTTCCACGGGGCCTGGAATGCGCCAAACCAATGCAGCAAATACCTGCTGGGCTTGTTAAGTTTGTGATTCCGTGTGACAAATCTTCTAGTTTGGAAGTGCTCCCATACCATCTGTTGCCTGTGATCCCATTCAACAGAACAGCACTGACCTGAGGACTTCTGTCATACTACACAAGTTCTTGTGCAGAATACGTAAAATTACGTAGGTTAAAAAGCCAGATCTTCACTAGATTTTTCTCAATCATTGACTAGGCATTTATTTATATGTTTCTTCAATGTTCTTCATTTATGATTTGTGAATACCCATTTTTCCTATCCAAAACCATGCAGGAAAGCACAAATGTGAGCAGGTAAGTGTGGAAGGTGTGTGGATATTACCGCACGCGCATCCAAAGGAAGGGAGGGCTTTCACTGATTTGAGATGTTACCATCTCCTGTATGATTTTCATCTCTGTCATGACAGCTAGAAACAACTTAAATGGCACTGCCTGAACAGAGCCCCACTTGTATTTATCAGTATCTTTCTCGTTCCACATCATCGTGCACAGTTGCTATTAAATAAGCACATAATGTGGTCCCTCTCCACAAGATCACCGTTGTGCACAGTTATTAAATAAGCACATAATGTGGTCCCTGCCTGCACCGTACTGACTGCCCGACGCTTTCTGCCCCCAGATGTGAACGAGTGTAGCACCGAGAAGGGTGGCTGCCACCACCACTGCTGTAACACCATTGGCAGCTACTACTGCAAGTGCCCCGCTGGCCACCAACTGCAGGAGGATGGAAGATCGTGTGGAGGTAACAGTTTTTCACTGTGTCTCGCTGCTATTAGGAAATCAGAGGACAGGCTGGAAAGGAAATTGTTACCTTTTATCTAGAGCCAGCTGAAGAGTTGTCAAGAGTACAGATCTTCTTATGTCGGGATTATGAAGATGTAGCTCTGAGAACACTTCAAAGTGTTTTCATTGAGAAATTGGATCACTTAACCTGGATGGGTTGTGCCATGTTCCGATTATGGAACTTCCATCATCAGTTTAAAAGCCTGAAGAAAATATATATATTTGCCTGAAGAAAATATGAACTGTTTGCCATATTTCATCTGTCTCTAAAAGAAAACTGTTCTTATCAGAAAATTCAGTCACAATTCCACAGCTAGAGATTAACTGAATAAAAAGGGATCTAAAATCACATGCTTTGTGCACACATTTGCCTTCTTCCTAGGGAAGATCTAGGTCCTGTTACGCGTTAATATTTGCTGTTACACAAAAGCTCAGTTCGACACAGACTTTGTGTTAAAACAAACAAACAAAAAGCATCACATAAAGCATCACACAACTGAGCGAGCTGTGACTGGATTTCTACATGGCAATGGGATAAAGGCAGAGCAGGGGTAAGCCAGGCTGTCCCGTGTGTCGATGTGCAGCCGCTTGGATCCGGATCCTTGGATCCGGAGGTGCAAAGCGCGGCCGGTACCACCGGGATGTCCCGTGCCACAGGTCAGGGCAGGCCCTTCTCCTTGGATGCTCCTCCTGCCCCTCGGAAACGTGCTCGGCTACGGGATCTTCTGGGCACTGGCTCTGTGCCTACATTGCAGCCCCAATTGCATTTCATTACTGCAGCGACGATGGAGTTGAAGCTTTTTCATTCTCTCAAGATGAAAGGTGTTAGATGCATTTTTATTAAATGTATTATCATCCTTTCATAAGAAGCCATCTTCTGTGGCTTTTGCTGTTGCACAGGATCTCATAAATTCCGCTCTGCTCGGATTTCATTATGCCATTGTCATTTAACTCCTTTTTAAGGGTTGTTACAAGGCAGTGCAGTTCTTAGATGTGATTATATTCTTTATCCTAACTTTATAATTTATTCAGCTGCACTCTTTATTCACTAGAAGATTGTGAAATTATTTCTCCCAGCAAGCTACTCTTTGTTTTCCAGCTTGACTATGTAATTAAGATCTAGTCTTATTTTAATTGTGATTGAAGTATTTCATTGTGGTCTTCTGTGGGTTCATTCTGGCCTTTGGAGAACTTCAGCCAGAAATACTGTGTGTGACCCCAATTCCTCTGCTTCACCTCATAGCTCTGTTACTTCTTTTGGGAACTACGTGCGACTTGCATGTGAATTAGTGCCTAGCACTGTATGCTGATGAATATTACTGTTTTCAGATTTGCTTAAAAGTTCTTGAAAAACCTTCGGATTTTGAAAGCCAGGATCCTGCTCATCTTAATTCAAAATTGTTTCGCCTTTGAGAGTGCTATTTCTGTCAAAATAGCTGTGATAGTAAGTTAGTTAAATTAGTGTTTCTTCTGCTCAGTTCTGCTATTCTTAAAATATATTCAAAATAATAGAATTAAAGGATATTTTATAGTCTATTCATTAAAAACACAAGCAGAGCTTAGGAAATTTGATCCTTATATACTACCCAACCAAGAATTGCAGAAGAATTTTGAAACCACTGCTTGAAATCTTCCCAAATAAAGGAAATGTGGAATGAACTGTTTGCCATTCAAGTCTTAAAATACTGTGAAAGTAGCAGTGACTCTAATTACAGGTGAATCTTAGTGAAGTTGATAATGACAATGACTATATATATGATCACTGAGGTTACCCTGGTGCTTTGCAAGAATAAGGCTCATAGTCACTCTGGGCAGCTTCCATCACCTGTCTCCTGATTGGGTTTTATTTTACCAGTGAATGAAAAGATCAATAACTGTGTATTTTTTTATAAGCTAAGATACAAATAAGGCATAGCATTATAAAACCACCATAGTGCAGAATTTTTATTCAGGACGTCATTACTATTGCAAAGCTTGGTATTGTTTTTCAGAAAAAGATCAGAATACCGTTGTGACAGAAAGGAAAAGTATTGTCAGAAATAACCATGTATTTCTTTAAGACTGTTGTTAGTCATTTAGAGCTCTTAGTGCTGAGGAGCGGAAAGTGGATACAAATTTAAGGAATCCTGCTAGGCGATGAAATACACCCCTGACTTTGTCAGAAATAGCTGTTCTTTCTGTGAGCAGTTTTAGGAGGTCCAAGGGCCCCATCTCACAGTGGGTGATGAAATTGTTCAGGATGCTCAAGCTCTGCAACCTCTGTGGCATCATAGTTGTCTGCAAAGCACAAGGGGTCACATGTGTTCAGCAAAAAAAAGGCAATATAAGCTTGAAACAAGTTATGGCAGTGAGCATTAACTTACCACTGTGGTTTGGTTGTTTGGCTGAGTTTGCTCAAGAAAGTGGTAACGTGGTCTGAGTAAGGAGGGCACTGTGTGCGTGTGTTATCTATAGAATTAGATAGAATTTGCAGTATTCATTTAATCAAGGTTTTGTGCCTTGGAAATGGTGGGTGTGTTGGATGCTTTTGTCTCTGGTCTGCCCCGTAACTGAGGCAAATCAGCCTCTTCATGCCATGGCCCCCTGATTTGTTCAGCGGAGAGGACTTGTGCTGTGATGCAATGAGAGCTATAGGCATTCCCATTCTGAATTTAACGGAAAGGAGTTCTACCTGAACATCATAAGAAGTGAAATTGGTGTTTTCCAAACTTAAACGCAGTTTTGAAGCTCAGTCACAAGTCCGGATTTGTAAAGCGCGCAGAGTCGAGGGCTGCGGAGCCCTGGTTTTCCACTTGGATAAGCTGCAGAAGTCCAATAAAAACGGCCGTGACCTTATGTTAAGCTTCTTTGATAGACTGTCATTTCTTATTTATGGTATTGTGTTCTCATCTGTCAAGGCAACTGGAAGAAGTTAGTGACAAATGAAGTCAGAAGATTAGCCATTGATGAAATGAAGCTTTTATTTTACTGATTAGAGTAGTATTCGGATCACTGCAACCTGATCCACTGTCATCCCCAGGGATTTTAGTCAAACTTTGGAGTCTTGGCAGCTTTCCTGGCCTTTGCCAGCTCTAGTTTTGGAGCGGCTGCATCCCGAGACAGTGTGTGACTCTGCAAGGCCCCAACTGTTTACCCAGGTAATATAATAGGCACTGGGGTCAGCGATTTGTCTTGATTTCAAGTCTGATGGAAACTCTCTAAACACTGTTTCCAAAGAAGAGTTAATGGCTTGACTAAGAGGAACACTGAGGGATTTGTCTAAGAGAAAGAAAGTGTTTATTAAAATGACCTCAGTATTTATTTAGTCTGTAAGATTTGAGGCCCTGGTCAGAATGTGTTCTGGTGAAACTTTGTATTTTGGGCTGTTTTCCTTCCCCATCAAATCAATGCATAATTTCTGCTACGTACCAGGAAAAACTGAGGGCCTTAACAGTGGGCTCCTCTGAGGAAGCAGCAAGGAGCAAAGGAGGATAGTACCAAAGGGTCGTGTTATTGCAGAGACCGCTTCATCATGGTCTTTTTATTTTTAATAGAAGAAACGGGTCTGTCGGAGGGATTTAGGATATTTTTGCAGTAGTTCTTGTCTTAGAAATTTCCATTTGACTTATAATATTATGCCGCAGTTCTACATGGATTTGGTCATAGGTGTTTTCAGGAATATTTCAATAGAAGGAGTAAGAAAATAGATGATATTTTGCAGGATGAAAAGGAGGCTGTTCGTGTTTAAAAATGCAACAAGTTCCACTCAGCATAAACTCAAAACGCAAAATTGCAAAATGTAAAAGTGAAGCTTTCTGTCAAAAGCTGAATACTGGTAAGTGGCTGATCGTTAGAAGTAAGTTAAACAAATAACCATAGCTGCTTTTACTCTTAAATATTGCTCATTTATGATTGCTGCTAACTGTCAAATCAATACCTTTAGTCATAAATAAAGAGCACAATTATCACTTTTGATTTCTGATCCCAGTAAGCACAACTCATGGATTCCCCTATCCTTTTTATAAAAGGAAGAATATTAGCTAAGACTAAGGTTTAATTATACCCTGTAGCTAAGACTAAGGTTTAATTATACCCTGTAAAGACTATTTAGCATTATGCAGGACAACTGTTTATCTGGAGAATACTGGATTTAGGTGGGAGAGCTGCGTATTGTTTGTGCATGTCTGCAAAGACTGTTTGGGCAGAAACTACTGTAAGACTTTCATAGGTATGTTTGCAAACTTCATTGGAAATTCACCTTAAAATTTATTTCTGCCTCTCCGTAATTCTTTTGGAAATTCCGTCTCTCTCGGTAAGCATTTGTGTGTGCTTTCTCAGAAGAAAGGAATGCTGGAGGTAAAAACCTACGCTGTCCTACCCCGCATTAGGAGCCAGCTGGGATCAATAGAGGCAAGTAGCTGTTAGTGACATAGTGTCGTCTTTCCGTGTTTGCCTCTCAGTATTACAGCAATAAATTCACCAAGACTAAGTAGTAAAAAATTATAAACGATATATCATAAAGGTAAAATTATCCGTAGGTTATTGGACTTTTTTTTTCCTGAATTAGTTGGATCCTGCTTAGCGCAGGGAGAAACCGGAGCTGGACGCGGTGCGGATTTGGCTGCCCGCCGAGCGGGGACGGCTGCGGTGGCTCCGGCGAGTCCCGCGTTTGGCCCCGCGTTCCAGGCCTAATCCCCGCAATTACGCGCCCGGGACACATGAACCCTTTAGTCTTATTAAAACGTATCATATACTAAGCTCAAGAAAATCACAGTCATTTCAGGTCTGACCCGTTTTCCTTCAGTCAGTGAAGTGGGGGAGTAAATGCAGATACTCAAGCCGTGGAGGGCAGGAAAACGGAGTCTAGGCTATTTTTGGAGTGATAATGTGGCAGACTCAGTTGAGAAGAGCATCTGATATTCTGAACTCATTGAGGTAACTGTAATGATTTAATTTGGGATTTTAATCGCACTTGTTTAG